TCCTCCAGTTAGACTCTGTCCTCCAGTTAGACTCTGTCCTACCTTTAGACTCTGTCCTACAGTTGGACTGATGATTAATAATAAAAAAAATAATAAAAAGAAAAGAAAAAGAAAAGAAGGCAAATTTTCATCAGGACAGGGTCCATTTCTGGGTCCATGTCCATCACTTACAGAAAAGCCTAAACAAGCTAAATAGTCCCATTGAAGCTCCGCCTCCAGTGAAGAAGCTCCATTCTCCACTCTGATGATGCGGTCATTCTTTCCAGGAGACACCTGTCTCATCCTCTGCTTCCATTCAGCCACAGTCGGTGGTTGAACATTCTTCCGGTTTGCTGGGAGATTTTTCTTGGCAACTGGTCAGCAGTGAAAAGGTCGAGCGTTCTAACACCCAGCAAATAAAACAGCATGTTTGTGGGGATTTCCCTTTTCATCATTTTCTCAATTTCGTCTTTAATATTTTTCCAGTACTCAAAAATCACTGGGCAGTCCCAGAACATGTGCGTCTGATCACCTATTTTACCGCATTGTCTCCAGCACAGAGCAGCTGAGGTCTTTAACAACATCTGAAACAGCCAAAGGGGAGCGAAACAATCTGAGTTGGAGTTTCCAGTCGATTCCTTGCACCGCTGACTGCTCAGACCTGTATGACTGCTGCTAGAAAGTTCATCCCAAAGGTCATTTTCTATTGTAGTATTAGATTCCAGTTCCCATTCTCCTTAATATTATAGGTCTTCTCACATAGGTCTGCTGAAAGTCTTCTATATAGACGTAAGAGATGTGTTTACGCACTGGGAGACCTTATTCCAACATTTCAATAAATATTGTTCTATTTGGGATTTTGCAGTTCGCTCTTTGTCTTTATGATTTATAATATAATGCCTAATTTGCAAATATCCATAAAAATCATGAGAGGGAAAATCAAATTGTTCCTGAAGCTGGGCAAAGGACTTTCAGTGAGTTGATTAAAGATAATGAGACCTTTAGCTGCCCATCACCTGAAACCATGATCTGAAACCAAAGGTGGAAAATCGATATTAGCTGCTATAACTGGGAAAATAGATCCACTATCTTTAGACCTCTTTTAACTTCTGCCCAAACCTTTATAGTATGTTTTATCCATTCATTTCCAGTCTTCATTTCACTGACAGGTACGACCGATAGCGGTGCACCTTAACCTGCCCTTTTCTATCTGAGCCCACTTTGTCTCCTCGTCTCTGCTGATCCAATCCACAGTCGCTGCTCGCTGAGCTGCCCAGTAGCAAAATGTCAAATTCAGCAGTGCCAGACCTCGTTTGTCTTTAGCCAAATTAAGTATTTTAAGTCTAATTCTGGGTCTCTTGTGTTGCCATATAAATTGAGAGATTAATTTGTTTAACATGGTAAAAATGGAAACTGGAACTCTTGTGGGCAGTGACTGAAATACAACCAGGAGACGAGGAAGCACATCCATCGCACCGTTTCGACTCTGCCCGGCAGAGACAGGGGGAGGACTTCCCAGCGGTTCAGGTCGCTCTTTACTTGTTTAATTAGCTTATTATAGTTTGCTTCAAAAAGTTTTGTGGTTTGAGGAGTTATAGTAATTCCTAAAGAGCGTAGCCCCAGTTTTGACCAGTGAAATAAATGCTGCTGTCTTGTTAAGTTGATTTGTCCACATCCCTGATATCATCATTGCTTCTGATTTAATCCGATTCATTTTATATCCAGAGATCCCTCCATAATTTTTCAGACACTGCACGAGTCGAGGTATTGTAGCAATAGGATGTTTTATAAAAAGCAGGACATCATCCGCAAAGAGGGACATTTTATGAGTTCTCCTCCCACCGTCCTCAACCCTTCAATCAGGACGTCAGAGGCTCCATGCTAAGAACAAAGAGGACGGTCTCACTTTCTCTACATCAAACAAAAATCACAGCAGTGCCCATTTACTCTCATTTTCCATTTTGGATTCTTGTATAACAACCGAAACCAACGAGCAAATTTTTCACCAAATCCCATCTCAGTCAGTGTTTGTTCTAGAAATTGTCTACCCGGCCGTCTAAGCTGACAAGCATTGACGTTTGTGCATCTTTGGCCATAAGTGATTGCAGGTTTAACACCCTCCTTATTTTACCTGTCCCATGGCGACCTGAAATAAACCCTGTCTGATCTGGATTTATTCATTTCTTAATGTATTTTTGTATTCCAGTTGCCAAAGTAGATGTTAATATTTTGTAGTCCACACATAACAGACTTATTGGACGATAGCTTGAACACTGCGATGGGTCTTTTCCTTCCTTATGCAGGACTGTGGTGATCGCCTCCGACCACGCTACAGAGGGTTTCCAGAGTTTAACACATCGCTATATAGCTTGCATAATACAGGAGTGACATCATTCACGAATACTTTGTAATATTCTCCAGAAAATCCGTCTATTCCAGGTGACTTATTGTTTTTTAATTTAACTATTGTTTCTTTCATCTCCTCTTGTCTAACTGGTTGTACCAGCCGTCAGTCTGGCCAACTTGAGGTTTTTAAAGAAATCCTCTATTTTTTCGTTTTGTGATTCTTGTGGTTGACCCTCATGTAGTTGTTCATAGTATTTAGCTAAGGCGTGGGATATTGTTTTTGGGCTTGTTTCATTAGAATGAGGCTGTTTCATTTTAGGAACTAGTCGGCTCACTTGTGCCTTCTGTAACTGAAATGCTAATAACCTGCTGGCCTTATTTCTCAGCTCGTGGGAAGGCGCCCTCAGCCGTATCTGTTCGTATCTCATCGAACTTGGTTATATTTTCTTTAAGTTTATGGAGCACTTCCTGTTTCCCATGTTGTTTATGTTCCCTTTCTGATCTCTTCACTAGCAGTCATTGATTACACTTCACACAGCAGCAGAGCCTCTGGTACTGCTAAGGACACACAACTACTGGGCCAAAGAGTGTCCATCAGACACGCAAAACTTTGTTCACTCTAAGTCATTCCTGTCAGACAATAACAAACTTTAAACAGAAACTATTCCTCAGAGCATGTCCCAGGAGTCACACCAACTTTAAGCTGTTGAGAACATTTCAGATGCCACCAAATCGATAAGATTAACAAATTCTGATGTCTTCCTGCTAAGTTAGCATGGGAAGTGGGCGGAGCCAGTGGGTTTGATTTCTAGCTTCACACGCTAAAGACAGACGTGATGATGAGTCATCGTCCTGCAGGAGGTAACACCTCCTCTGCAACTGCTGATGATGAAATGATTTGTCTTTCATTTATGCATTGCCTTTGACTCACTGATCTGTTCACGTTTAGTTTAACAGAGAATGTGTTGGACTAAATTATTTATGAAGCAAAAAGCTGCAGCCTGGACTACAGGCGTGCTCACCAGCCTCCACCAGCCACCGCTTTGGAGAATCCACAACTAAAAACCTGCATAAGATGTTTTCACATAAAAAGATCATCGTGATCTGGTTTCATCCTGCTGTCTCACTCATTTCTCCACCTCTGAGCTCTCCATGTGGGATTCTTCTGTCTGGTCTGATAGCGGACATACTGACCCGTTTGTTGACATGCGTATCAACAGAACCCTCGATTCTTCCAAACAGCTGATTTCTTTGCGGCTGAAATCCTACTACAGCGTTCGCATTTTTCCTTACAGTTTTTGTTCTTCTTCCTCCTCCAGTTCTTCGCTATTTTTGCCTTCTCCACCTGCGGCAGTTATTCTGGGATGTTCCGGATGACGGTCGAGTGCAAGAAGAACCACACGGACACCGACCGGAGCATAGACGTGGAGTTTGAGTATCCGTTCAGGTGAGAACACAAGTCATCTCTGCAAACACTGAATGTTTTACTTTTGAACAGTTTTGTTTTTTGCAAGATTATCCCACATAAATATTCTGAAAAACCCACGATATGGCTGTCATGAAATATAAAAACTACTAAACCAAGTCTGGCATTACGATGTGCGCTAAAGCTGTACAAACTCATAGGTTTAAAGAAAACACCAGAATAAAGTCATAAACTTAGGGTACATTAGTTCCTGTGGCCAAACTTTAACACCACTTTCCATCCATCAGATAGTCATCAGCTCGCTTTCCTTTCACCGAAAGAAGAAACAAACCAAATGTTGTCCGTCTACAGACAGAAATACAGGGAATCTACAGAAATGTTTCAGTTGATCAGGTTGAAATTATTCTTTACTGCCAGCTGCTGTCGGCCATGTTTGGTGCTGTCACAAACCTCTGATTGGTCACATGACTTCAGTGTCAGAACTTATTGAGGAAAGACGTTTTCATCTTCCATGAAGCTCAATAACGCTTTTTAGAAAAAGTCAAATATCACTTCAAGTTACTGTCTTTTGCAAACATTTTTGTAGGGGTTTTATCATCTTCATCAAACTTTTCTAATTTCATTCTTTAAAATGTGCATAAAAATACATTCTGGAAACATGGCTGGAGGAACATGTAGCAGTGTCAGAGCCAGACTTCCCCTCAGGAGCTGGTGGACAGCTACAAGAGATGTATTACATTCATCAGGTAGAGTCAAGCGTGACTCAGAACTCCGTCAGGCTCGGTCCGATCATTTCTAGCCTCGTGATGTATCCAACATTAACTCTAGCACAGTTTCTGTTTGTAACAGCTGACATGCAGAATCAGCTGAATCCAAACTGCTTCTTTATAAATGAAAACATTAACTGAAGAATTTCCAGCACCGCTTTGTCTTCTTTGGTCTTCAGGCGTGTTTCTGCTCATGATCCTGCTGCAGTTAGTTTGAGCAGCTTCCTGTCCTACAGCAACATCTGGCAGGAAATGACAGAAGATGAGTGATCAGCTGCTGTTTGTCATGACTTGTTGAGATGTTTCACAGCTTAGACTCTTCCTCCGTCAGACTCCACCAGGTATACTTTGATGCGCCCACCTGTAATGAGGGGAACAAGGAACGGTTGTTCCTCGTTGGGGACTACTCCTCCTCGGCCGAATTCTTCGTCACCATCGGCGTCTTTGCCTTCCTGTACTCTACGGCAGCTCTTAGCATCTACATCTTCTTCTTTGAAAAGTACAAAGAGAACAACAAAGGCCCGCTGATTGTAAGTGCATCCACCTGACTGCCCAGCTGAATTCTGGGAAATGTTCCTCCTAACACACTATGAGTTGTTGTTGCAGGACCTTGGTGTGACCGGCGTGTTCGCCTTCATGTGGCTGGTGAGTTCGGCAGCCTGGGCCAAAGGTCTGTCGGACGTGAAGACGGCTACCGACCCTGATAAAGTCATCACCATGATCGCTGCCTGTAATTCCGAGGGAAACCACTGCCGTGAAGTCCACGACCCGGTCATGTCTGGACTCAACACCTCTGTGGTAAGACTGTCTTACCAAGAGACACAACAGTCCTTCCAACAGGAGTGTTGTTTGTTTTGTGAACTATGAGCTCAAACCACGACTGAATCTGTCGTGAAACTGGAGCCATATGTTTTCCGTTATACTTTGAACTGTCAGCTGGATTTCCCTTTCATTCATTATCATCATTTCCACCCTAAACAAAACAGTGCATACATCCACCAGAGAACTTTACAGCCTTGACTGGACTTTTCTTTTTACATTTTCATATGTTTTGTAAATATATTGTAAAAATATTTTGGCCCAGGTCTAAACACAAGCAGTCAAACAAGAGCGACTGAAACACAATCAAACTGGACTTTTACAGTTTCATTGAGCACACACGTTTATCCAAAGTGACATACACCTGAGAGTAGATACACATTCATAAACCAACAGTGACAGAGCTGCCATGCCACAAGGTGCTGCTGCCACTGGGAGCAACCTTAACTTCAGGGTCTTGCCCAAGGACACTTGGGCTGTGGGGTTGGGGATCGAACCGGCAACCTTGTGATCAGAGGACAACCGCTCGACCTCCTGAGCCACAGCCACCTCTTTTAGGTTCTTGAAGACATTTCAACTTTCATCCTGGAGGCTTCTTCAGTTCCAACTGCCTGATGGCGATTTCCAGGTGTCACATGACGAAAGGCCCATTGATGACCCAGGACTCACCTGTCTCCAGGTGTGAAACCAGGTGATCCAACGACAACAACAGCAATACTGGTCGTGGAGCTGTCAGTTTACGGAACAAATGAAACTGCCATGTCAGGACTCCAGATGTTAATGATGGAGAAACTTTCTTGGGAGACACCTTATCACCGAGTTATACCTAACTGGTAGTTGGTGCTGTAGACCTCTCTGTTTGGAGATGGATGTTTCCCCTTAGTTTTCTCTCAACCCATCTTCTCTGTCCAGAACGTGGACTTTTCTGTCCTTACAGTGTCTCTGATGCTTCAGCTGGATGCTGGTCTGGTCCCGATGTCTGGTCTCTGCTGTAGTTTAGTCTCTCCTGTATAGACATCACTGCTCAGCTGCTGTCTGGTGTTTCATCCTCAGGGTGAACCAGTTTGCGCCTCAGTGTTGTTGGTTTGTTGTGTTTGGAGGAAATCTGTTTCCGTTTCCGTTTTTCAGATACTCCAGCTACATATGGAATGATGCTGTTCCTCCTGTTTCTCTTCTCTGCTTGCTGTGGTGCTGTGTTTTCCAGATCTTTTCATTGATTTGATGAAGGCCCAGTTGAAAGAACCACAGTGCCTCAGTGTTTTCTTAATGTTAGAGTCTTCCCTCTGCTTTCCCTTACATTGGTCGGAACATTCTCAGCCCGGTGCTTGAAGGTTCTTTAAGTTTGTAATCCCGTGTGAACTTGTTGTTGCTCTGCATCAAGGTACTGTGCTTCGTGAAGGCTTCTAACCAAGTGTTGTCCACCTGTCTGAACCAGTGGCTCGGAGTTGTTCCCTTAAACGAGCTCAGGCTCTGTTTTCCACCTTCTCCATGCAGAGGTTCTCCACAGTGGGTAAACCTGGAGAGTCCATGGCTCAGCTGAGCTTCAGTCTGTAGGAACCTTCATTCTACTTGTAGCAAATGGTGGTCAGGCAGAGCTCCAGCAGGATCATATCTGGCTGAGTGGTGCTCCCTTGGTTATTTTAGGACCATACATGCATGATGTATCTTCTCCAGGAAAAAGTCGGCAATCAGATGGCCAGACAAAGGCTTTTTCTGTTTCCAGCTGTTGGAGGCACTCTACAACATTCTTCTTGTAGCTGTTGGTGGGATCTCTTTGTCGGGCCTCATAGGTACGCTGAGTAAAGTTGTTGTTTTCTTCTGATAGCCAGCTGTGTTGAGTACCACGGTGCATCTGCCTTTGTCAGCTGGCAGGAACATCACGATCCTGCCAGCCTTTTCCTGTTTTGTCCATCTGCTGGTTGTGGCATCGTGTTGCTGAACCCCCACTTTCCAAAAAGTGTCCTCACAGTCTGTAGCTATCTGCTTGAGTGCCGTGTGTTTCTCATGATTTAAATCTGAATTTTCACAGGCTGTTTGTTTAGAAAGATTAGACAAGAACGATGACATAATGTGTTAATGAGACTAACAACAGGAGTCATGTTGTCCCGCAGGCATTCGGCTTCATTAACCTGGTGCTGTGGGTGGGAAACCTGTGGTTCGTCTTTAAAGAAACGGGCATCATCGCGCCCTTCATGCGTGCTCCACCTCCTCAGACAAAACCTGCGGCACCAGACACCTACGGCCAGCAGGGGGCGTATGAACAAGACCCATACGCCAGCAACCAGGGAGGTTACCAGCCAGACTACAGCCAGCAAGGATACAACCAGGTGAGCTGACACACTGCTGTTCAGGTAACTTCTGAATGAGACGAATTCAGGAGCCCAGTTCCCAGACAAACCGGTCCCATGTGGTGAAAATCCATTTCTATTGTGTTTTTTGCTGAAAAACTGAAAGAAAAACTGAGAATGTTTGAGACATTGATTCATTTTCTGAACTTGGGGACATGGGAGGTTTAAAAATAGCCAGAACCTGTAACACTTGACTTTACGGTATACACAAGAGACTGAGAGGAACATCCAACCTACTGGATCAATGAATAGATGCAGCACGGATCAGAACCAGAGAACAGAGGAGCCAGTTGGTGGAGATGCATTCAGCTGATGGTGGAACATCTTTCTACATCTGATGAGCAGAGAGGAGAAGTCTGGAGACATGGAGATCGTTTAACATCTGCAGGACCAGGAGACAACATGAGCTTCAGGGTTGGAAACATGTTGGACATGTCGACTGTAGTTTTTTATATTACATTTTGAAGAAAATAACCATTTTTCCCATTGGGATTCTGTGTCAAACTGCACAAAAGGCATTTGAGTCTGTCTCATTTCTGACAATTAAATTCAGTTTATTTATTTATATAACACCAGTTCACAACACATTTTATCTCATAGCACTTTGCATCGTGAGGTTAACACCTCACAGGATCTAAACCGAGCCCAACAATCCAGAAACAGAGTGCAGGCAACGTGTTGCTGCATCGACTCAGATTTAGGTCAGAGTTTACTCGTTATTTGGGACCCAAAAATAAGTTCTGTAAAATATTTTTGGTTGAATTTTGTATTCAGAGAGTTCTCTTCTTTTCACCCTCAAAAACACGTGCAGCTGCTCTGACGTTCCTCCAGTGTGGCTGCAGGAGATGATTCGTCCTGAACACTGAGGAGTTTCCTCAAAGACTGCAGCTTTCAGGACAGAACCAGCTTTTAATCTGTTTGCTGCCTTCACCCTGCTGCTGCAGAACACTGCAGGTAGAACATGATGCTGGTAGAACATGTGCCGCGTGGTTCTGCAGGCACAGGCATCTCTGTGTTGTTAGTCCAGACCGGCTTATTGTCCATGTGGACGAAGACAGGCCAGAGAGGAGATCAGTGCTGTACTGCGATCTGAGTGGAGAGGATGTGACTCGTCTCTGAGTTCTCTCTCCTCCTTCATGTTCTGGTTCCACAGAGCTGCAGGACTTTATGTTGCACAGAAACATGAACCAGAGAAGAAAAATGAGACAGGAACAAGAAGTAGCCCTTAACTAACTGCAGTTGAGGAGATTATTCAATAAAATAATCAGCAGATGACTTGATAATCAGAAACAAGACTGAGTGAGAGCTGCAGCGGATCATCCTCCATGTTGTTTGTGTCTCCTGCAGGATGCAGAGTACGGTCAGGGCTACGGCCAGCAGGGGGCGCCCACCTCCTTCTCCAATCAGATGTGAGCTGGCACCAAGTAGGTGAGCCCAATGGAATCTGTTTCAGTCACTTCCAGAGCAGAGAAATTAACAATGGATGAGTCCAGCGTCAGAGGTCGTGTTTAATCACATGACATCACTTCATCAATCAGAGAATGCCGTCAGCAGCCAGAAACAACCAATACCTCTGTTCTATCAGCAGGCTCGTAACCATGGTGACGTTTGGTTTGTGGAGGAGCTGCTAAAGTGCAGCTTTCTGGATCAGGGAGGAAAAACTGACATGAAGACAGTTATTTTTGTTAGGAACCAATCATAACGCCTGGACGTGTGTTTTCATTAAAACAAAATATCTGTCAAATCATGAAAAACGGTTTTTGTCCTTTTGTTTCCAGATGATGCTGTAATAACAATTCAGTTATTGATGTTGTTGTTATTACTATATATATATCTATACTTCTGTGTAAATAATGGGCCAGAATGTGTAATGGGCCTCCACACAGCAGGGGGCGCTCTAGTTCTTTCACTGTAAACCTTGCTATGGGTTTTGTGTTCACATGATGTTCGTCTTGATTCAGTTTAATCCAATAATTCTGATGTGAGAACAAACTCATGCTGCACATTCGTACATTTAGTAACGTTTTGTTGACGAGAGCGATTATTTGACAATTCTGTTTGTCTTTGTTTCACAGGAAGCGTCGGAGTGAACCAACAGTGGGTCGCCTGCAACCTACCCACAATGCAGCACTCCTAACGGGTGGGGTGGGACGGGTGAGGGAGGTTTAGATGTTCACTATAAAGAATCAATGTGTAAATGATAAAAAAAGAGAGTTCTAAAAAACAAATCCACAACTTGAATAAACCACCAAAACAACAACAACAACAACAACAACAACAACAATGCTGACAAACAGAAACCCTCTAAATCCATGTTGATAAGAGTTATTCATATTAAAGTACATAATCTGTGGACAGAATGTATGTTTGTGTTATATAGATATCACCTTGAACAGATATATAATATAGACTCAACTGTTTCTTCCTGTTTCCAATGAACCCAAATATAAGCCCCGCCCCCTGCTAGCTGCTCCGCCCCTTCTCCCACATCAACAAACCAGGCTGACACCTGCAATCTGTGAAACTGTTCATACTGTGTTCACATTGAATCAGATCCAAACCGGATCAAGCGTGTGACATCGCCTCCTTGTCGTCTGCCGTATGTCTTGCTGCATGTAAATATACACACAGGAAGTGATGTCACGCTGTGGTCTCAGTCTGAACCGCAGCTTCACGGTGGCACCGGGTGGAAACTGGGTCCAAAATGGCTCCTGATTATTACAGTTTGAGTGTTTGGGGCTCAGCGGTCTGTTACATTCCTGCTACCCAAACGTCCGTCTGAATCTTTGTGAGAAACATTTATATAGCGTCAGCTCACAGCATGCGTCATGTCAGGGCTCCGACTGGGTAGCGTGACAATACCACCGTATATATATACATATATATGTGTGTGTATATATACGTATACATATACATATATAGTGTATTGTGTGCTTGGTGGTAAGGCTGAGCGACAACAGGACAGCAGCATCTGGAGAACAGGGTGAGGGTTTGATGAGGACTCATCAGACCACAGTCTGGCCTTTCAGTGTATTACCAGAATAACATTAAAAAAACTATGCAGCAAAAACCAACACAAAAAGAAAACTGTAAAAAGAAATCTGCAGAAGTAGAACACAGGCAGAAACCAACAGCTGAGCGCCGCTGTGGGTCAGGCCAGGTCAGACACAATTCACCCAAAATGCTGTTTCATGAAACAGGAAAGTCCCTCCTGTTCTTCACTTCTAGCTTCAGCCCGACCAGTTGAGGCTGGTTATGCTGCACTGTCTTTCTATTCAAGGAGAGCTCTTCCTCCACGGTTGCCGCACAAAAGGCATCCAAAGGAACCTTTGGATTAGTCGGCTTTCTCTGAACAACGATGAGAGGTGCCCGATGTCATGAGTTGGTGCTACATAAATAAAACTAAGTTGAATTAAAACAAATTCCTTGAACAGATGAAACAAAATCAGTGCTTCTAAAGGCAACGTTCCCACAGGACCGAGGCCAAATCAAAGTCCAGATGTTCCACACCAGGGCACAGACACATCAGATATACATGAAACACACTGCTGATAATTAAATACACGTTTTTATTCACAGTTTATCTTGATTGACTTAATAAATGTAACTTGATTCAAACTATTAAAAATATTTTAGAGATGTTGTCCGTGCCGTGCAGTGGGTCAATGCTGGATTAGCATCAGTAGTGTTAGCTCGCTGGGCTGCCAGGAATATTAGACCAACTTCATCAGAAAACATGTTAAACAAAACGAACATGTGATGCTTCAAAAGTCACATCTATAATTTAATGAAATGGAGTTAATTAAAAATGGCCGCCTTCATGTTTGTGCGATAACAAATTAAAACATAACCTTTAGATTAAACATTCAGATGGACGTTTGGGAGAGATTGTTGTTGTTTCCATTTTTCTTTGCCTTTTCTAATCAGAGGTCTTTCTGGGAAGGTCTGCTTCTTCTTCTGGGATGTTTTTTGCGTGGGTATCTTCCTGCTCTTCTTCTTCAAGGGTTGTTTTTCCGGACAGTGAAGCTGTTTTAGCGTCGGTATCTTCCTCGCATGGTGACGTGTTTTCTGCTCGTGTTGTTCAGTAACTGATGATCAGTGTGATTCTTCCTGTTACCTGTACAGGTGTGCGTGTGATTGGTCATTACCTGTCCATTCTTCTTCTCTCTCGAAGGCACACTCTTTTGTAATTGTTTAGTCATCTTTCATCCCCTTTTTTCTTTTTCCTCACTTCATTTTTCTTCTACGTGGTTCTCCTCGCGGCCTCTGTGCTGTAACTTTCTGTGTATCTTGGTCAGCATTTGTAACCACGGCGACAGTGTTGACAGTGGTGATGACAACGATGATGATGATGTGTGTGACTTGTTGCTATGGAGATGCCCCCCTCCCCCTGCTGTGTTCAATCAGTGCAAAGTTTCAATAAACAACAAAAAAAACGGTCTCAGTCGGAATTCATTCAGTGAGTGAATGGATGAATGTGAGTGAATGAACTGGCTGGGTGAATGAATAAATGAATGCATGTAAATGAGTAAATCAATGTATGAAACCACAGACTGTATAACAGATGGACGTAGCTGCCGTCACGTCACCCGTTGGTTTCTGCTCTGAGAACATGAAGCCAGGGTTTTGCTACTTCCTGGTTGACATCTTGGATTTTTGGAGCCAGTGACGCAAAAATCGTGGGAGGGGGGCGGAGCCATAGGAGCAGGGATTGGTCAGATGGATTGAGAGGTGGGCCCTCTCTGCCCGCCCACATTTACCACCTTCTGCTCGCTTCGTCTGTATGGTCGCTGCCGACTGTCAATCAAGCCAGCCACGCCCCTTGCCCCGCAAAATGTTGATGATTTATTAAAAATTCAGTATTGATTTATTTTCAGATTGGCCACCTGATCTCTGGATCTGACCATGAAAACTAATAAGAACACAATCCTGAGCTGTAGGAATGCAGTATTTGGTGATCTGTGATCACTTCTTTTCCAGTTCCAGTCTATGGGAGCCAGGGCTTTGTGGAGCCAGCAGCTAGTGGACGTAGTGATGCTGCAGGTTTATGACACTTCCGGGTTGGATTCATTGTTCAGGGCCGGTTGCTACGTCCATCTTTTATACAGTCTATGTATCAAAGCTAATGAATGAATGAATATATGCATGAATCAATGAATGGATGAATAAATAGGTGAACGAATGAGTGAATGAATGAATTTATATATGAATGAATCAACAAGCAAACTGATTCAAGAATGAATGAATTAACAGAAACTAAGAAAACCAGCTGGTGAATGAATGAATGAATGAACTGATTAAATAAACATCTGCACCGCTCTGTCCTTCTTCACTTCTTTATGTCCTTACATCCTTGTTTGTCTCCTTTCCTATGCTCTAGTCTCCTCAGCTGTCTTTATCTGCTTCATTGTCTCCTCGTGGTCTCCCTCTTGTCCTGATCTGGTCCCTTATCTCCTCTCATGTCCTCGTCTTCCTCCTGATGCTCAGCTCCTCCTCCTCCTCTCCTGACTCATAGCTCCTCCTCCTCCTCCTCCTCCTCCTCCTCCGTCTGGCTGCAGCCTCGGTGTGTCTGTGTGTTGCTGCTGTGTCTCCTCATCATCATGGCGTCTTTCAGCGTCCTGCTGCTCAGCGCTGCTCTGATCCACAACGTCCAGGTACGACCGTCTACATGTGTGTTACATGTCTGAATCCATGGATGTGTTGGAACGCTGACATGATGCTGACGTTGGTTAGCTTCGTTACATCACACACGTATCTGCAGCTGTGTGTGTTTTACTTTCCGTTTGACCTGTTAGTTGATTATTGGTTATTGATAAAGAGACGCTGTGTGTTCCGAGCATGCTGAGCTTCAGCTTCTTGTGAGGACACTGTTCTAAGTCCTCACATTGATCGTTAACATCGAAGGTCCTCACAGAGGTAGCAACATGAGTGCGTGTGTGTGCGTGTGTGTGTGTAGGCTGCAATCAGAGATCATTTCATTTCAGCCTCTGTCGCTATAGCAACAGGAGACGGTATCCAGGGCAACAGGGCCATATGTCCACGATGCAGCAGGCACACTGACACGCTGTGTGTGTGTGTGTGTGTGTGTGTGTGTGTGTGTGTGTGTACCTGTGAGGACAGAGCTCGCTGAGTTTAGCGTCGCTCTGATCGTGTGAAGCTTCCTCAACAAATAAAACTGCACTTAACTGACTGAAATCAGATGAACTTTATCATCTCTCAGAAGAAATATCATCCACACAATACACAGAGTACACACACCTGTACCTGCAGTACACACACCTGTACCTGCAGTACACACTGACCCTGATTCATTGTTAAAAACAGAAACCAGTAGATGCAGTTTGTTCGAAGGTTCACAGGAACTTTCCATCATGTCTGACTACATTAAACTACAGAGTCTCTGCAGACGTCCACAAAGCATGATGGGAAGTCTGCTGACAGACTCTCACTTCCAGTAATAGGGTTAACCCTAACCCTAACACAAGACACCAACACCCTGACACCAGCCTTCTATTCATTGTCTCATGCCTATTGTAGGACTAAGCCTAACCCTGCTGAGCACTGAGCTCATCTGAACCATCACTCGTATTCCAACGAAGCAAAATGACAAATGTTCTGAAACTGAAAGTCCAACCTGATGAAATCAATGAAAACAAAGATTATGACTGAAGTCAGAGGTTTCTATGAACAAAGTATGAAACGAAGGTCAACATGGACGCCATAGATACGTTCTGGCTGAAAGCAGAAACAGTTTGTTCTTACTGGATGACTGTTTTCTGACTTTGGCAAACACTTCAACCAGCATCACCTCATTTAAACCTGATTTTATAACATCGTCTGACAACAAACACGAGTTAAAGACAACAGCTGGATTCAGTAGGGTAAGTGTATTTAGGTTGTCACGAAGTCAGAAAACAGTCATCCAATAAGGGGTCGCGTTAGGGATAGGGTCACTGGGTCACAGGGTTAGGGGTCAGGGGTCACTGGGTCACAGGGTTAGGG